GGCCTTCCCATTGAGTCTGTGGCACACTCACTCAGGGAAGGGTTAGACCATTAGATGTTCAGGCTAAGGTAGGATTTGAACTTGGGTCTACTGATCATGAGTCTGATGCGACAACCACCATGCTACCAGTAACTGGTTAAATGCATCATTGTTTGAAATATAATAATTATTAATGTTTTTGTAATATATGGTGCCTTAAATGGGATACATCTAGATGCTTAGAACATGAAAGCTTTGAACAAAAAAAAATTGAGTCACAAGAGAAATAAATATGGTATCACTCATATGATATCCTCCATGTAAATAGGATTTGATTTATAGTTTACAATAATAATCATTTAAATCATTCTAATAAATAATCTAATGTTAATCTATGCATATGAAAATAGGCTGTATTTTACCTACATAGTGCATCATATCTATAAACTTTCTGTTCTGTACAACAAATGTATACAACCCTAAGTATAGGAGTAGGCCATCAGGATCATAACAAAGTGGAATGTAAAAATGTAAGCCATCCAAATAATGTTGCTGGTTGACGCAAACTATTTTTTATTTTTTTTTATTCAAGCAACAATAATTTACGATAACGATAACATTTGCCCATTATGAAGACCTTAGGTATGAATGCACCCTGCATTAATCAAAGCACACAAATCAAGTAAATTCAGAGAAAGAAAACCTTCATGTTTCGAACTGATAATCCTAAAATTTTTGGATGTAATGAAAAATACAACTTATTGCTACCCCAGAAATAAAAATAGAGAGTTACATTCGTCTGTTTTTGAAACGTACAATGATACAATTTTAACTACAGGTGTGAAACCCTCAGTGCCTAATACCTATCATATATGGTACTTTTGTTTTTATCTTTAGGAAGTAGAGCTATTGTAATGGAATGTCAGTATGGGCCTCGCAGAAAAGGATCCATTAATAAAAAAAGTGCAGAAGCCAAAGCATTCAAAGCTACATGTCCAGCACGGTGAGTTCAAAGGTCAAGTTGAATGATAGTTTTGTGTGATCTGATACATGCGTCTGTAGTTTATTAAGAAGTGTAACAATTGAGTATTAAGTAAAAATAACAATTTTAAGTTACAGACTCTATATTAAAATGCAGAAATATATGGACAGAACAGCTACCATAACACTAAAATAAAATCTTGAACTTATGGTGTGAAAAAAAGATTTGATTCATGATGTTCATCGCTGTTTGTTTTGTTTTTTTCACAGAATTTACATCAAGAAGGTACGTAAGTTTCCTGAGTTGGCTGTAGATACCAGTCCTACAGTAGATAGAAGGGCACTGCGTTTACAGCAAGACAGAGCGTTTGCAATACTGCGAGAAAAAGGAGATGATATCCAAGGTGTTGAAAGGTGAGCATCATTTTGTATCACCTTGCAATGTAGCTGTGTCTTTATTTTCTGTGATTGTTATGGTGGTATTAATTTATTTCTTATTTTTTATCTAAATATTTATGAATTTCACAATTCAAACTTAAACAAGATGTTTCTTTTGGCGATGGAATAACATTAAACATTATCAAATGACATCATTGCTTAATACCCTTAATAATAATTGACATTCCTCATATTTTGCTAAATGGGTTGAGTTGTCAGGCACTGCAGCAACATATGATGGTGTTACCGACTTGATGGTGAAGGAGCAGTTTATTGGTGCCTGTACAAGAGATCTTGCAGTTTATCTTAAAGAAAGAGCACCCAAAGATTTAGATGAGTTGGCAGTAATAGCAAAACAGTACCTAGTGGCACATGATCGACAGTTAACCACGAAGGACCAGGTGAGGCGTAATGATAAGACTGTCATTAGAAATACTGATGTGGGACAGGGTAGTAGTATCCGGTGTTATGTATGTCAGGGTGTTGGTCATCGACCAGCACAATGTCCATCCCGCGTTACTGATGTCAACCATGACAAGCTGCAGTGGTTAAAGAGGAGTCTAATATCAGTGCTAGCTGTGCTGTTCAAATTGACAGTGATGTGCCTAAAACGATTGAGAAGGACCATTTGTTGTTAGCATCGGGGAAGCAGTTAAAGGTTGTGAGTGGTACATGTATGGAACGGAGTGGCGTTGTGGAGGACAGGACTTTGCCTGTGGGTCAAGGGAAGGTTGGTGACACAGTTGTGACCATGTTGAGAGACACTGGGTGTAATGGCATTATAGTCAAGAAGAGCTTGGTACCAGATAACCAGTATACAAGAAAGATGGGTCATATATTGATGGTTGATCGTACTGTAAGAAGGGTTCCAGTCACCATGGTGAAAATTGATACGCCATATTTGAGAGGCACGGTTGAAGCATTATGTGTGCAGGACCCAATCTATGAGTTAATTGTTGGGAATGTGCCCGGAGCAAGATCACCAGATGACCCGGATCCAGTGTGGAATGCGGGTGGAGCAGTAACAACCAGAGCGCAAGCGAAGAAATCAGGTAAGGTGAAGCCGCTCAAAGTGTGTGATGTAAAGACTGGAGCACATGTAACAAAAGACAAATTAGTCGAGATGCAGCAAGCAGACACATCGTTGAAGAAGTATTATAGTAAGAGAGAACCAGGGAAGTCTTCCCGCCAGGGAAGTCTTTCTGTTACTGTTGCCATTTTGGTATTTGAACCATCACACCTGTACTATACCAATTACGGTAATATTACGTTGCGTGTGACAACCAGGCAAAGTTGTGCATAGCAGTGATGACTTTTTACATATATCGTCAAACAGGTTTAACTAAATTATGTACAGCTTCCCATATTTCTAATGCAGTAAACGTCATGATTTAATCACGACAATGTAAGTGTGCTACAACAGTATTAATACGCATATTTTATTTATTTTCCACAATTGTTTTACAATACATGTTTGCAATACTTTCCACTTGTTTTATCAACAATTAAACATATTAAAAAATTCTCCCGAATGCTAGGATCTGGCAGGTACAGTTCGGATGGTTTGCAAGTTTCTTGGAAAGAGCCTAACTGATGAACAAATTGACAAGGTGGCCCAACAATGTACGTTTGATGCTATGAAGAAAAACAAGACACGTGACCACGCATGTGTTGCTTTGGGGATAGACCCTAAAGATACACCCTTTGTGAGGAAAGGTAATCACTTTTATTTATTTATTTATTGTGTTTGTGGTTTCGTCACAATGATTTGACTAATCCATTATTGTATTTTATTCCGTGTTTATCTCGTTATAGGTAAAGTTGGTGGGTGGAAAGGAAGTTTTACTGTAGCACAGAGTGAAGAGATGGATAAATGGTACCATCAAGCCATTGATGGGACGGGGTTGTCATTCGAATTTTGACTTAACACAGTATTGCGGTGATCTGTTTATTATGTCCATACATGGACTGAATTAACAAACTCTTCATAATACAAAAGTCTAATAATATCAATAAGTTTGTATCTTTGCTTTTTGTTCATTGTCTTGTGTATGATACTTACTTTTAACAGCTGCATTGGTTCACTGTTCTTCTACATATATACACTGCGTTTTCAGACAAACGTACGCAATGACAACACTGACAGGTTTTATCCTTGAACTTTGAACTAACCCCGTGTTCATATCACCAATATTTTCGTTTGCGGCTACTTGAGAAAACGGGTACGATAATTGTATGGCACAAACCGTCCAGGTATTAGCGCCACCACAGTTCTAAATTATATTGCAGTGTCAATCTCGATATAATGTTTTACTTTTTCACGTCATCTATTACAGTAAATTCTCTGCAATGACAAGTCATATACAATGCGCATGCAGCTCCAGTATTAATTGCAACTTTGTGCAATCTTCATGATTGCTGACTCGTCCCTGGTTGTACTCCTTTGTCATACAAATACGGGTGCCTTGAAAGGATTTGAGGTCACTCGTTTACATAAAGGGTGCATATTGTTTACTTGCTGCGAGGGTTCATGAATGCCAATACAGTACAATAAATGTAAACAAACGTCAGACAACCCGTCGCGCTCTGAAGAGTAGGATGGGGGTTCTATATCACACATTAAACCTGCTAGTCCCTTCCTCACAGATACATGCTTACTTGTACCGCATGCCACAGTGGTGTCTCCTATATCAATGGCATCACACCAACACATTTTAAAGGAAGTACAAAATGTATTACCGTAGCCATTTTGAATGAATCTATTTTGACATGGATAGAATCGTTCAAAAGTAATGTGGTGATATCACATATGTTGTCTAGTTGGCCTCAGAGTTGAAATTGACAGAATAGAGACAATAAGAGGGATATACACACAATAAATAGCCTGGACATAATAGTCATAGACGAGAATGTAAATCAACATAACACGATGTGTATCTTG